ATTTTCCCATCCTCTGACTTACTGCTGCATGCTGTATTTTTGAAATCTGAAGTGACAGAAGAGAAGCTCTGTAACGGACTGCACTGACATCAGGAGAGACCCAACAACCAATGTTTCTGCTCAGTAAATGCATTTAAATGCCCTCTGCCATTATAATTGCATGGTCCAGTGCTTTTTAATCTGTGTGGAATTTATACAGGCTTGTCCATCAAGAAAAGAGAGTAGGGCTGACGGTCTCAAACAAATGCCTCTTTGTTACTTTGTGAGGTTCCTTACACAGATGTGTACTGTGGCCTGTGTTTTTCTCAGGATTGAAAAATAGAGTGACTAGATTTGTTCTGGGAATTTTGTGCTTATTTGATACATTCATTTCATCCTGTTGCTGTGTTTCTATCTTAGAGATGTTTTTCTTGAGGTGCAGGATGTGATGTACATGGTTTTATTCTTTTATTCTATTCAAAGAATAAAAACTATTAAAACCTATATTTTTTAATAGTGTGGAGGAATGATGGCCTGTTTTACAGAATTAACTTTATGCAGACTGGCATCTAGTCAGCCAATGGTATTTGAAGGGACAGAAACCAGCACTTGTTCCCATTTCAGGAAAGGCACTATCCATATTAAAAGCGAGATGGACTGCCATAGTAGCAGAGAGTGAGCCACTCACCAGCTTCTCAAATGCTAAGTGACAGCTCATGGAAAAGATGTATAGGTGTGCATAAAATGAATGTGCATAGCTGCTGTAACATGGCAGAGTTGTTGGTAAGGTTCTGGCTTACAGACTGCAGCAGGTTTAACTTTTCAAACCTGCCTTCAACAAAAGGATCCCAAAACATTCATGCTTGAACTTCTCTTGTTTTCATTCCCAGCAGGGGCAGCCAGTGCAGCTGGGCAAGGGCGTACTGAGCAGTGTGACATGCAACCTGTGCCTGGATTACCAGCACACCACCACTGAGCAGGCAGGCAGCAGAGGACAGCCAGGAGCAACACTACAATATTTCCCATGTCCACATCAAAACCCTGCTATTAACTTGCCCTTAGCACTAATTATCCATTATGTCCAGGCCATGTTGTGCCTTCCCATCAGCCTGCTGAAGCTGGCAAGCATTCCCTCCCGTGCCAGAGGAATGAAGGCAGGAAGGGTACACAGCTTGTCTCTGGGTTACAGGAAAACAGTCTTTGGGGCAGGCTGGTATCAGATTTTTTGTGCTACCCTTAACCATGACCTGATAGGGAAGTTTGATTAGTTACAAGGGGCTCTGACAATCTGTTTGCCAGTGGAATTGTAGGACCCTGCTGCTGTTAATACTGTTGCTCCTTGCTGTCTCAGCCCATTCGTTGGACATGAACATCGTTTAGCCAAGTACTAAAGGTAGATAGTAAGGTTTTAGTATTGGGAACTGTTTTAGTACCGACTCATATACGTGTTTTCCTGCAATGCATGCATTGGAATGGTTTTTAAATAAGTCCCAGAGTGGAAAGGCAAAAGTTGATCATACTGCCTGCAGCCATTTTGCAAGGGGCTGCATTTTCTGTCCCTGGCAGAAGTGGAATGGACTGATGAAGGGAGCAAGGGCTTTTTTCTGCAGGTGAATTCACATGCCTTGAAGTGCACACTGTAACGTGTTTCCTCCTTGTGCCAAGGTGAGACCATGTGGCACAGAAATGACTGATGTGGTGTCAATGTTGTGGTGCTGTACTATGTCTCCCTGAGGTTCAAAGAGCTTGCCAGACTTGGATGTGTGTGCAATGGCAGGGAGATAGCTGAGGGCTTAGGAAACTCAAAGCTACATGTCCTCCTGGCAGGTACTGTGCTTGTGCCACAGTTAGGACTTGACCAGCACACTTGGATCTGTGCTGACTGCTGCTGTGGTGGTGATGGGGCTGAAACTGGGATAAAAACTATAGTCATAATCCTGTGTCCCACTGAATGCTTGCTGTATGGGGGAGTAAGTCAGCTGAAGAACCAGCTCCACAAACCATCCGTGCTGCAGAAACAGGCCATGGTGTGCTATGGCTGTGTGGCTGCTGCAGTGCCCAGAAGGCACTTGTCCCGGCTGCCTGATGTAGCCTCAGCATGAGCTGGCCATGACGATGGGTACCTTCAAGCCATAGTGTGGACACAGACCCCTGGGTCCATCTGTTGCTTTGTGTAAATTTGCAGCTACACCAGTTTTAAGCCACTAAAATCTCAACGCAGAATTTGTAAGATGTGATGTGCTTGGGCTCTGCGTTGAGCCTAAAGGCTGGTGAAAATGCTGCTAGTCTTGGCATGAGGAAGGAAGGTAACTGAAAGACTTGTCCTGTACGGCCACTAGAGGGAAGATTTGTCTCCTTATTCTGAGCTCCCACACAGCTTGCATGATCCTGTCTGCTCAGCTTTGTGAGCTCGGGGTGAGTTTTGTGCTAAAAACCCATTTAGATGCCTTGGCTGCTCCTATATGGTTGATAACGTGGTGGGATGCGCTAAGTTAGACCAACAGTTCTCAGCCCACTGTCCTAGATCCTGGATGAGCTGCCCTGAGAGGGGCAAACATCCTACTGTAGGTTTCCAGGTAGCTTTACTGATTTCCACTTTTGGACCAGGTTCTTCCTGAGCTGCCTGTGTCTGTCTTAAATAGTCCTCAAGTGGGCATGCTCGTGGAGGAGAAGTCCAAGTCGCCCTGTTGCCCCATGTAGGCTCAAGACCTCTGCAGCAAGGACTTCGCAGCTAAACTGAGTGCTGTAGGAGCCACCGCCTTCCCTCAGTGCTGTCTGTGGTCTGCCTCGGGCTGGAGGAAGACCCCAAAGCCAGGGATGTAGCAGCAGCTCCTGCTAGGAGCAGTGGAGCAAGCTTTAGCACCAGACTCCTTGTTATCAGCATCTCAAACTCCTGTCACCCCCAGGAGAACTCCTGTCACCACCTGTGTCAGCAGGAAACCCAGCGCCCATCCTGCTCCCTCGGGAGACACCCTGGATTGTGAAAGGCAGCTGTCACAGCAATCAAGGAAGTGCAGACTGAAGGATGGTGTTCCTACCCTCACTTAAAATGCTGACTCCAGTGCCTGTGCCTTAGCAAATGGCAAGACTCCAGTGCCCTCTGATCCGTGGCTGAGGAAGTTCTCACTCTCTATTGCTGAGCTTGCGCAGGACTCGGTGGAGCAGGGAGTGGGAACTGGCTGTTCCTGATGCTGCATAACCGAGGTAAACTTTAATGGGCATGTCCTTGGTCTCTCTGGGAATAATCAGTGCAAACCCACTGCTCCCTTTGCTGTGTCTTGTGGTCTGCACAGGCATGCGGAGCCTTCAACCCAGCCTGGGAACAAGCATCTCCCTGGCTGATGGGGTGCAGGGCATCATGTAGCATGGGAGAGCCGGGCCTGCTGCTGGTGGGGGCTTGCAGGGGGCTCGCTGTGCCCTCCCCTCATGCAGCTGTGTCGTGCTGAGCTGTGTGGAGCTGTATCACTGTGCTGGGCTGCCTTCCATGACCACCCGTGAAGTCCAATGGAGCCATCCAGCTCTCCGGGCTTGTTTCCTTCCTTGCTTCCTTCCTACTGATAAATTCAGCCATGCACCTGCCTTCAGGAGTGGGGTCAACCCCTCCTCTTCCTTCCTCCAGGGTAGGCAAATGCCCTCTTCACAATAACACATCCCTCCTGCCCCTCGGACCTTTTCCTCTCTCCCAGGTGACTCCTGCCCTCCCTCCCTGTAGCTGGGACCCTCCATCCTGGTGAGTTCTCTGCTCTGTGAGGTTTCCAAAACCTCATGCTAGGCGTTAATTCCCTATACAGGAGGTGCTGCTCACCCCTGCAGACTTGCAGGGCTGCAGCTCATACAACTTCAGCCCTTGTGCTGTTTTCCTGGCCCCTCTCCTTTGGCTCCAGACTGCTGAGGATGGGAGGACCCCTTCTCGCCTTTAAGTATTTTGGCTCCGTCTCGCCTGGATGTAAATCCTGGCCATGAATTCCCTTTGGGATCTTGGCTATGTGGCCAAGCCCTCTAAATTTTGGATTTGTGCCCATTTTTTTTTGCTTAGATTTCAGTTGAAAGTTTCCTCCTGGCTTGCTGTTAGCTGTCAGGAGTTACATCTGCTCCACAGACCTCCACACCCTGCTCACAAGGTCTGCGGATGTTTCTCCACATCCCTCGTGGAGAAGCACAGACACTGCCCTTGGGATGGAGGACCTTGGCAGGACTCAGGGTGGCTCTGATATGCAACCAGGGAGCATCCAGCATTGGGAAACTCCCCCATGTGCTGAAAGAGACTTCGTGGAGCTGCTGCTGTGACCTGAACATGCTGAAGCCGGGCACAGAGCTGGTTTGCCAGAGGCCAGGAGGAGTCTGCTGGGCCACTTGAGCCAGGTCCTCATTTTAGTGGTGTTACTTCAACCTGAGACTTGTAATGACCACAAGATTCGCTCAGGAGTGGGGCAGGGTTCATGGGGAAAAGGCTCTGTGTCCTTAAACCAGCCTGTGGGTCCTGGGGTGGATGTACACACAGAGCTGAGCCTGTTGTGTTACGCTAGCTGATGACTGCGAGGGGAAGCAGCCAGGCAGATGAATTTGACAGCTTGTGCTTCCCTTCATCCCCAGGAGATGAGCTTGCTTCCAGGTTCTACTTTTTCTGTAGGTGTGAGACATCCCAGCCAACTCCTGTTGCAGTAAGTGCCAAGCATGGGTGAATCCTGTTCACAGTGTATCCTCCCATCAACTTCAGCCATGTCCCAAATGGCTTACAAGCAGGGAAGCAAGGTGCTGCTGGGGTGTGCAAACCCTGATTCCCTATGGCTCCAGCCCAAAGCAATCTGCTAGAGGCTGCTGCCTGATGCTATGGGCCCTTTGATGTCTTCTTTGCTCCTAGTAAGATGCTGCTGCAGGTGACAAAGGGATTCTATTACACCTGCACAGCACAATGCTGGCAGGAAAGGAGAGCAGATGCCTTGTAGGGCCTGGGCTGAGCTCCCTCGTGACTGGCTGCTTGGGGAGGCTGCTGGATAATGGAGGCTGTTTGCCATAACTTGAGTTTTAGGCTGTCCCTGAACATTGTGCCTCAGGGGCAAACCCTGGCATCACCTATAGCTGAGAAGCCTCATTACAGGAGGAAGAAGTCCAGATCCTGCAGAGGTGCATCCCACTGGATGGGGTCGGAAGGTGAATCCACTGCTGCAGCAGGATCAAGATCCCCAGTTCCTGCAGGGATCAGGGAAGGGAACCCTCATCCTAAACCTTCCTGCTTCACACAACTGTATCCAGCAGCCGGATCCTCCTTCCGCCTCAGGCTGCTGGGTCTGTGGTTTCCTTTCTCACACTTCTTCTGGTCCTTCCCCCCTCACCTGCACTGTGGTCCCAGCTCACCCCATCCCCTGCCATGCTTGGCTCAACCTGAGTTCAATGCACGCTGAAGCAAAGCCTGGAAACGCTTCATTTGCTAGACCTGACCTGGTGCCAAACAATTGCACACGTTTGCAGCAGCGCTAACATCTCATCTTGCCGTGGCTGCTCCCCTGGGACAGACACACCGCTGTGCCAGGAAGGGCAGAGGGAGCACCAGGGCTGTGCTGCTGCCTCCAACCCCAAAGCATCACTTGCAGGGTGCACCACCAGCTGCACATCCTGACCCCAGAGCAGAGCCATCCCACCCGGGCTGGCTGCTCCTCTCAACACTGAGCGTGCTGGCGCAGGCTTGCTTCCACTGAGGAGTGTTTAAAGACCACAGCGCACTTAAGAACTTACCCCACCTCCGAGACCCACAGAAAGTAAGTCTGCTCCGAGCAGAGGAAGCTGGTCTGATGTGTTCTTTCCCTTCTCTCCGGCTTTTTTGTGTTGGATGGTGTCCAGCTTGGCCTGGCACTGAAACCTCTGTCTGATTTTGGTGTGAGTGTGGAGAGGAGAAGGATGAAGGGAGAGGGAAAAGATGGGGGGGGGGGGGGGGGGGGGGGATACTGCAGGGTTTCACCTCCTTTCCCCCATTGTGCTGCTGTCCAATGAAAGCATAGAGTTAGCCAGTGGTGTGGGACTGTGTGCCAAAAAGGACCTCAGCACCCAGGAATGGTGCTTGGGAGTGGGTGATCGTGGGGCCGCTTCCCAGTGGGTTTTCCAGGGACAACCAGAGCTGCCTGCAGTGGGGTCAGGATGTGACATCACTGGCCATAGAAAAGCCCTCGGCCCCAGGGTTTTGTTAATGAAACCCCAGTGAATACCAGAGCCTGTGGCTCTCGCTGCTGCTGCCATCCCCAAACCGCCAGCATTCCTGTCGGGAAACCTGCCCAGGACTTGTTTCTTCTTACTTTTTCTCCTTTATTCATCAGTAAGAGCAGAAAGCACAGCGGAAGGATTTGGGGCTGGAAGCCAGTCGTGCTGGGATGAGGTGAGTCTTAGGGGTGGGAAGAGTCAGTGCTGCACCCCTGAGGATGCTCCTGGGGTGCTTTTAAGCATGGGTTGGGCAAGACCCGCTGGGGGTTAGCCTGGGAAGAAGCAATCCTTCATGGACGCCTGCAGAAGGCTTTTCCCCTTCCTCTGGCATGCCAGTGTGTAAATACCAAGAGAGCCTGTTTTGGGGGTGCGGGAAGGTCCGGGAGCCCTTGGCAGCAGGGCAGGGATAGCCATTGGTAGGCAGGGGAAGGGGTTCGGGCAGGGGAAGGCAGCACAGACACACGCTTCCCGGCTGGGACGGTCCCGGCAGCGGCTTTGCTGGTGTCAGAGGGAGGGCGGAAAGTTGTGGGTGGGGAAACTGGGTGAGGGCGAGCGCTGGAGATGGGTTTTCAGCAGCTGGTTTATCTCCTCTCGCCTCCCTCCCGCAGCTCGCAGGCCTGGGGCTTCCCGTGTGGGGGATTACGGCGCTGACTGCGGAGTAAGCACCCTTGGGACTGAACCGGAGCGGTCGGGCACTGCGGAGCCCATTGGACACCTCTTCACAGGGCTCCCAACAAGTCACTGGTGGCAGCAGCGAGATTGCAACCCCCAGGAATGAGGTCAGGAAAAGCTTTTTCAGTGCCTTTGGGCCAGGCTGTGGTCCACCGGGAGCTGCTGCTGGGCTCTTGGTGTGGCAGGGAGGCAGGGCATGGAGCAGGACAGAGCAAGGGATGAGCCAAGTTGTGCAGCCCTGCTCCTGGAAGCCATGCTGGGTCCGGTCTGCAGGAACTGGGGATTTCCAAGCACCATCACAGCTTCCCGCTGGTGGCTCTGGGGGACTGAGTCCTGCTGCTCTGGAGACTGGTGCTCCAGGGCTGCCTCTGAGGATGCTCACACCTCTCATGGGTCTCTCTGGTACCAGGGACGGTTTGCACAAGGAGGGTTTGGCAGCCCAGAGATTCCCTGCAGCTCCCCCAGCCTACGTGCAGGGCTTTGATCCCCCTCCCGGCATCTTCTCTTGGCTCGTTTCCTGGAATTTTCCATCGTTTGGGTTATATTTGGGATCAGCAGCCAATAACCCCGTTTCTCACAGACAGCCTAGCTGGGGCTTGGCTCCAGCAGGAAGCACTGAGGGAGGGGGCCAGCACCCCAAGACTGTGCTCCCCAGCATCCTCATTCTGCAGCTCCCCTTTCCTTAGATGATTTAAACCAGACATGGCTGGAAAAGACAGGATACGTTCCCTTCCCCGGGAGCACCATGCACTCACAACCCCTGACTAGATTGAGGCTGGGGTGGCTGCAGTTCAAGGGCTGCTTGGGAGAAGCTGCCTTGGTCTTTGGGATGCTAATCCAGCCATGGTTGGAAAGATGCTCTAGGACAGGTTGAATGCCTGACTCTGCAACAGGGCTTCTCTGGGGCTTGAAGGGAAGCTCAGAGGCAGGAGTTTGGAGCCAGCAGGCAGACAGCAGCTCTTCCTAGAGCAGTGAAAACCCAGTGGGTTTCTGGTCACACTCTCCATCTGGAAGCTGGCTGCTGTGTCAGGGACTGGCACAGGGTGGCTGAGCTGATGCCTGCCCTGCTGGAGATGGGGCAGCATGGGACTTCCACACTGCTTGTGGTGGGGAGAAGGGAATCCCCTAAAGCAGGGAAGCAGAAGTAGACATCTGGGTGACCAAAGGCAAGATCCCCCTGGGGAAACTCGGGGAGGATGCGCAGAGGTGGTAGTAGTTAACCTACAGTTTAGTTTATGGTGCCTGGAGCTGCATGTACCTGCACTCTTCCTCTACACCCTCCTCCCAGAGCAGCGGGAGCTGGAGTCGATTGCCTGTGGCATTGAACCCCTTGTTGTGCTCCCAGGCTGTCGCACTGCCAGCGAGGGCTGGAGGTTGCTGCTAAAGAAGCTGCCTGTGGTTTCCAGTCAGATGCTTGTGTGAGTGTGTAACTGTCTCTGGCTGGATCTAGACAGGATGCACTTGGCACTGGAGCTGCAAGAGGTGCTGGTGTCAAAGCCTTCCTCTGTCCTTACCCTCCATGACCATTAATGCTTCCAGGGGCACCTGCACCCCTAAAGTCTTTGCTTTTGCAGCCCTTAATATAGAGGCAGCCCAGGGAGGGAGAGCAATCTTGAAACTGGGGAAACTGAGGCAGGAAGCACAGGACCGCCCCGTGCCCACCACCTTGGAAACCAGTGGTGTGTCTGATCCTTCCTGCAGGCTTTCTGACTGCAGTTTATCTGGGGTCAAAACCAGAGGTTGCCTTTGGTGACCTTGTGTTGGGAATGGGGGGGAGGAAGCCCCCCCCCCTTCCACTCTGCCTGCTTTCCCCTTGTGTTTTGCCAGCTTGCAAACAGAACTTTCAGAGTTGTTTTTAGTTTACAACAAAGCCTTCGCCTTGCCGTGTTCCTCTGTGGTTTCCAAAAGATAAAAAAGAAGAAGAAACAAAAAGCTTAAGTAAAAACCCCAAGCAAGTTTCAAATCTGAAACTAGCAGCTTAGTTCGACCCTGAACTTACATTCTCCCCCCATCCAGTTCATTTCCTTTCGTCTCTGGACCCACCAGCAAGCTGGGAAATCAGTGTTTCACATGTCTCTGCCTGCTACAACCCTGGCAGCAGCTCTGCTGTGCCCTTGCAGAGCTTAACCCTGCTCTTGTTTGGTTCTTGTTAAACCCAACTGAGTTTTGCTTCTGCTGCTGCTGGTACAAACAGGGTCAGGCCTGAAGCCAGCAGCCTTTAGAGCTGTGGATAAGGTTTTGTGGGTTTGCCAGCCTTCTGCAAAGCCAAGGCTGTTCTGGGAGCATGGATGTGGGTGAGCACTAAACACGCTGTAGTATGGCTGTCCCATGAGAAGCTGCAGCCTCTTTCCACCCTCCTACTGTCCTTAGCAGGGACATGGGGTGACAGCAGGAAACGTCTCCAGCTCCACAGCTGCCTGCTTCCCCCCTTTCCGCTCCCAGGAACGGGATGAGGTTTGGTTTGGGGGGTTGCAGATGCTTCAGAAAGGGACGTGTGAGCCCCTGGGGTGCCGGAACCGCCGCCGATGGGAACTGCGGCGCGGTGAAGTGGGTTTGCAGCCTTTGCCAAGGCTCCTCTAGGAGCAGCTTTGATTTCACACGTGGGAACCAAAGGCAGAGACCTGCAGGCGGCTGCACCGGCGCCGGCCCAGGCCCTGCCAGTGGGATGTGTACGGTCATGTTGTAGGAAGCTGCTGTCTGAGCTTGTTGAATGGCAGCTCACCTTCAGATTTCCCAGGACAGGCAGTGCAAGCTGTGATCTGGACTTGGACAATTTGGGTTTGGGCTTGGACGGGTCTCCTTTCCCACCCCAAGCTTCAGTGACCAAAGTCTGATTTCGGGGAATGCAACAGCCCTGGACATCAGACTCAGATGAACTCCACACCACAGCTAAACCTTCAAAGAGCTGCCATTTCTGTTCTTTTATGTGGATCTGTCCCAAATATTTGGCCAGTGATGGAAGAGCACTGGTTGAGTCAGATGCATAAAGGTGGACACCAGGAAGATCTGGTCTCGCATTCGATGCTGATGCCCTTTTCCTCCAGTTAGGTTTTGGATGCATTTCGGTTCATTCCCAAAGGACTTTGCTTTTCTTCCCAGAAAGCAGGGGCAAGTGCTGGGTCCCTGTGCAAGAGGAAACTGAGGCATCGGTCACTTTGCAGTGCCTGTTTGCACCGAGCTGGTAGGTCCTATCTCAGCACCTCAGCTGCAAAGGCCATAGCTGGTATTTCAAGCCCTGATCCTGGCCTCTGTGCAGCTCCTCCCTGTGCTGCTCACATCCTTCCTGCACATCCATCTCTGGGCAGTGATAGCTTTGGAGCGAGGTATAGAGCAAATCTGTTCTTTGGCCCGGTGCCTCTCTGCTTCTCCGGGTCGTAAATCCCAGGATGTGTTTTTGGCTTTGTGTTAAATTTAATTTCTGGAGAGCATTTTCTCCAGTGAAACTGCCACGGCCTTTTGATGACTTAGTGATTTGGCAGCGATGCTGGCGAGGATCCTGAAAGCAAAACCGCTCTTGCTGCTCTGGTGTGTGCTGCTGCCTGGGGAGCAGAAAGGCTGCGGTGTCCTGCTGGCATCCCAGGTACAGGTCTGCTCCAAGCACTTGAGCAGTGACAGGTTTCTCCCCCTCATTCCTGGCAATCTCTATCAGAAGTATGTTATGAAAACACTTGGCAGATGTTTAGCAGGTTTGTTTCTTCATTTACGTTTTTAACTGGTGTTTCATCTGGATGGTACTGAAGCATGAAGCACATTCCCACCTGCCTGGTGAGCGAGAGCAGCTTGCAGGGAAACACAAAGATCCGGTTGTGGATGATGCAGAGGTGCGGTTGTGGGGTGTTAAGGCTCTGGCTTCAGGAGATGAGATGTAGAGTTTATTTCTCAGTGAGTGGCTCAATATTTGCAGAGGACTTGTAATGTGAGACACAGGAACAAGGGACCCCCACACTGTATTCATGGAGAACTGATTTCACTGCTCATGGCCCCTTGCAAGTGACACACGTGGTGGGATATCCTCTAGCAGGCTGGATTCTCATTACCCTGCAACAACCCAGTCTCTGCATGGAAGAGTCTGCAAACAGCAATAGCTCCCAGAGCAGTGAATGAATTTGACAACCCTGGGGTAATGGTTGGACTTGATGATCTTACAGGTCTTTTCCAACCTAATTGATTCTGTGATTCTAAGTTGTTCATCCTGTATCTGTCCAGCAAAGAGACTGAGAATGCAGGTTTGGTGTGGTCCTGTGTGATGCCTGTCCAGCCCTGCAGGGTGGCAGCCCCTGGGCTTTATTTGGGTGTTGGGTAAAGGGGGTGCTCAGCTTTGTTGGTGGGGTCATGGACTGGCTGGGAACTGGGATGAAGGAGCTGCAGGATGAGGACTGATTAGTGGGTACTGCATCATGCCCATCCCGGGAAGCTGCCAAGTGTCAGATGGCAAATCCTGACTTTTTGTTAAAGGACCAGTTGTTTAATTTTCCTTATTTTAATGGCTTTTATGTTTCGACCAGAGCCCTCTGCTGCTGCCTGGTGACAGGAGAGAAAAAATAGCCCATATGTGAGGGTATGGACAGTAGCAGGGCAGGGACAGCCCCATGTCCTGGCTTGCTGCAAAGCCAGTTAGTGATAAGTGCTTTGAGAAGGGCAAAAGCACCAGAGGTGCTGCTGGCCCCCTCTCTCCCATGCTGACTGCAGGCCTGGGCACTGCTCAGCCCCATCACATATTCCTCCATAAGGGCAGACCCTGCTGGATGTCTCATCCTGAACAGTATCCCAGCACTTCCTTTGCTATTAGATTAGGATCCCCACTGCAGCAGTTATAGATGAATGTATATGGATGTATGTGTACATATTTCAGAAACTGTTATGCATTAGCAAACTCCCCAGGAGGCTTTTTTTAGAGGTGCTATCGACAGGATATGCCTTGAATATCCTGTGACAGCCGGGTGGGAAGCCACAGATAAGGGCTTTTCTTTACAGCCTCGCTGGGCCCGGAGTACCCTGGTGTACATTGTGCTTCCTTGGGCTGTTTGCTCTCTCCATCGGTTGGCATTTTGAAGAGCTCATGCTCTTTTTCTGAAGTGGGGAACAAGTCCTTTGATATGGTTGGAGCCTGCTTGGGGTGGGGGAGGAAAAAGCATCCAAGAAACATTCCCCAGTCACTGCCCTTCAGCAATAAATCACAGAATCATAGAGTGGTTTGGGCTGGAAGGAACCTCAAAGCTCACTCAGTTCCAACCCCCCTGCCATGGGCAGGGACACCTTCCACTAGAGCAGGTTGCTCCAAGCCCCATCCAACCTGGCCTTGAACACTGCCAGGGATGGGACAGCCACAGCTCCTGTGGGTAACCTGTGCCAGTGCCTCAGCACCCTCACAGTGAAAAGTTTCTTTCCTAATATCTAATCTAAATCTCCCTCTTTCAGCTTAAAGACATTCCCTCTTGTCCTGTCACTAAAATAAGAACCCATTAAAATCCCACCCAGCCACATGAGCTGGGGAAGGTTTACAGATACCCCACTATGAAAGTCATACTGCATAACATTGCATGATGGCTGTGACCCATTCCATGGACCATAAAGCACCTAAAACCGTATGGTTTCAGGTCGGGTTGTAACTGGGTACAGCAGAGCATGGCAGGGTTTGGTACCACCATGCTATGAGCTACCTAACAGTGGCAAAGCAACACTCCAGCCTGTAGGAAAGGCCATGGTTAGAGCACTAATGGCACTCATGCTGGGCTTTCCAACCACACAAAGGTTTTTCCCTCACAGCCACGTGCTGACTCTGGTATAGAAATCCCCATCGGGCAGACCTGCAAGTGTTTGGGATGATCAGTAGGTCCTTTTGCCTCCAGTGATGCCCTCATGTGTGGGTTTTGAGGGGGGCACAGGGTTTCTCTTACAAAATATTTAGCTGGTCTCCACTGGGCAACACAGAATCTACCTGTGGCACAGGGCTAAGTTTAGAAAACAGAGTTTATACAGCAAGCTTTTGCCTACAAGCTGTCTTTTTAATGAGGAATGTGCATCCAAGTTTTGCTGGGGCACCATTCCCTCCTGCTTGTGTCTTTGGGTAAGTCACTTCCCCTTTCCGTGAATCTTTTCCTTCCTATTTTTTAACTCATTCTCCATCTTCTCCTGTTGGGGGGATGCTGTTGAAGGACTTTCTCTTCTCTAAGCCTCACCAAAGCATTTAGCAGAAAGGGGCCTTGATCTCACGTTACCACTACAGGTGATGAGTGCAGGTAACAAAACGCACCGTTCAGTCTGGGGTGGATGGGATTTCCACTGGAGCTTCAGGGAGGAAAAGGAATAAAGGGAAATAACTCCTAACTCAGGCAGGAAGGGGTGAGCTCAGCACTTTGCTGAGCTCGTGACTTCCAGACCGAGTCACCCAGAAGAGCATCAGCCACTCCAGCTGTTGTGTTCATTGTGTGCACGCCGAGGGCTGGCCGCATCCTGGCACGTTGTGTTGTTGTGCTGCCGTTTCCCTTCTTCGGATGCGTGTTTTGTTCTGTTGGACAAACACACGGGGCAGAACAACAAAAATAATCCCCCCTCTTCCCATTGATGTCGGACTGGGGCTGTGTGAACCAGCAGCCAGCTGTGCTCACAGTGCGGTTTCCAGAGCATCGCTCACCAGCCACAGTAGTGGGATAGGGGTTATTTATCCTGAGAAATCCCCAGGAAAGAGATGCTTCCCTTGGCCAGAAGAGGAAAAGGCCACCAGGCTGGGGCTTCCCAGGCTGGTGAACTCTGTTGATGTCATGGCTCTTGCTTTATTGCAGCAATTATTGATAAAAGGTAAGAGCCTGGCTGAAGCCTGGTGAGGTCCCAGTGCGCACAGAAGTGAGGAAGGGCTCTGCCTGCCACTGAGCCTTGCACAGGGTACACGTGGCACTGCTCACCCTCTCCAGTGCCAGGAGCTGCTGTGTGAGGTGGCATCAGCTGCTTCATGTCACCCTAATGTGGAGGGGCCAGGAGCTTTCCCCAAATCTCCATCCCTATGTGCTGCTAGAGCAGCAGTGCCAGCCAGCATCCTGGTGTGAACTCATCCTTATGAGCGTGCCCATGTTGGCTTCATATGTGACTAAAATTTGTCTCTTTCTCCCCACAGAGACCTCCACCCCTGAAGACCCCAGCTTTGGGTTTGACCCTGTGCCGAGCCTCTGCCCTCACCCTGGCCACCCCTACCCATGATGGCACTGTGTCTCAAGCAAGTCTTCAACAAAGACAAAACGTTTCGACCCCGAAAGAAGTTTGAGCCGGGCACCCAGCGCTTTGAGCTGTACAAGAAAGCCCAGGCCTCCCTCAAGTCTGGGCTGGACCTGAAATCAGTGGTGCAGCTGCCTCCCGGTGAGAGCATCAATGACTGGATCGCGGTGCATGTGGTGGACTTCTTCAACCGCATCAACCTCATCTACGGCACCATGTCAGAGTACTGCACGGAAAGGAGCTGCCCCATCATGTCTGGTGGACTCAAGTACGAATACAGGTGGCAGGATGATAGCAAGTACAAGAAGCCAACCAAGCTGTCGGCTCCGCAGTACATGTGTATGCTGATGGACTGGATCGAGATGCTCATTAACAACGAGGACATCTTCCCCACCAGGATAGGTGAGTGTGCTCTGGTTCTTCATGAGAAGGCTGGGGTTGTAACTGGGGCAGGCTCTGCTGATTCACCTCAGGGTTGGTATTGCTGACTTTGTGATCCCAAGGATCATGGCCTTTCCTGTTCCAGGTGTTCCTTAGAGTCCCAAATTGAGCTTGGGAGCCCTTGTCTTTCTCCTAGAGGATGTAGAAAACAATGTTCTCCTTTTCTGTGCTTTTTCCAAGTATTCTGTGTTTGTGAGAAATAAGGGCAGGCAGATCATCAGCTTCCTTGCACTTCCTCGAGGAGCTGAAGCACATGGCTGGTTAAAGGTGGTCCCAAGGCCCAAACCTCATCCCACCTTGTTGTTTCACTTCTCAGCTCCTTTCCACCTCTGCTAATTCATCTCAGCCCCGATTATATATCACATTCTTACTACTTACATTCTTACTGTCCCTGGAATCTGGCCTTTCCAGCTGCCAATCCCCAGGGTATACGATGCACCCCTTCAAAAAAGTTTGGCCTTAGGGGTTTGCAGCAGCTGCCAAAGGCAACTCAGCTTGAAAGTAACCTCTTTGCTGCTGACCTGCAGTGCTTGGCAGCTGCCAGGGCTGATGTTAGCCCTGCTACTTAGCTGCTTTCTTGTCCTTTGGGGAGATGAGTTCAAGGGTTAGAGCTGATGCGTAGGCTGGTGGAGCTGCTGGAGCCTCAGGTGTGCCTTGGTGTGGTTGCTTTTCAGATGAAATGCAAAGGTACTTGAATGTAAAAGAATATTTAAGGGGCTTCAGGAGGAAAGATACAGCTTTGCAAGGTTGCTTGACCTTGTTTGTTTTCTCAAGCAGCACAGTTGACAGAGCCATATGAAATCAGTGCAGTTGAGGCTCAGGATTTTCATTAATATGCTGGGAAACACTGAAGAAAATGGTCTGTGTGGGATTACTGGCAGCCACTAGCTGTTGTAGCCCTATTTGTCTATGCTGTAGCATCTAGTTGTGTATCTTTTGTGGGATAATCTCTGGCCCTTGGCTCTCTGCAGGCAAGAGGGGAAGGCAGGGCAAGTGCGGTGCCAGATCCTCATGCTGGAGGACAGATAGACAGGCTGTCTTTGGGGCACACGGGGTAGTCTGCCCCTAGGATTCACTGGTGACATTTCCTGTGCCATGGTGGCATCCCTCCCTCATGGGCTCAGTGAGCTCCACACATCCCAATGGATAGAGGAGGCTGGAAGTGTGGCTGGCTGATAGTGTTGGTGCAGGATACTCCATGCTGGCAGTCTCAACAAAATCCCCATTGATTCTGACTGCTGCCAAGGGGTGAAACAGCAGCCACAGGATACAAGCTAGGTCTGCTTCTTCCCAAGGAGAAGCTCTGCACACCATTAAAAGCAGGGGCAAAGATGTGGATTTACTCAGTTTTCCCTCCAGACAGAATTGAGAGTGTCCTGGTCCAATTTCATGCCTTTCAGGTGGGATTTGGGATTTGATGCTGCTTGAAAGCTGCCCTGGGGAGTCAGTGCTACAGGGAGCCTACAGCACCCTCCGCTCTCTCATGTCTCCCTGTGAGGAGCAAAAGCAAAGCATAGTTGTGGCCCTGCTGGTTTTCACCCCATTTCTGTCACTTTTGCCTCCGAGGTGTAACACATCCTGATGTGGGGAGGAAAAGCTCGTGCCTCTCATTTCCACCTCTCCTTTTACTTTGGTACAGGCGCAATTCTGGGTGAGATCCGGGCTGGCTGCAGGCAGTCATGGGGAAAACCCATTTTCCTCTCTTCCAAAGCCATTCCAGTGGCCCCTCTTCCAAGCCCCTTTGTCGCGGGGACCTTTGTGTCCCCGAGTGACTTCAGCCCCCTTGCAGGCACAGCTTGGTGGTTGTGGCCTCCCACATGTGAAAGTGAACTTAGGCTGAGATCACACTTTAAAACACATGAAAGGCTGTTGTGGGAAGCAGGGGTAGGAAGGACCTGGTGGCACTTTGTCATCAGTGTGTCCCCTGTTAACTGTCTTTCACTGGCCTGCCTTGTGTGCTGGGTAATTGCTCGGTAGCTCTGGCATTTCAGAAAATGGAGGTGTTTGGCCAAAAGGAAATGTCACATCCTGATGTGATGTTCCTGATGAGCTGCTCCTTGTTGCTGCACCGGATGATGGGGGAGGCTGGGGGTACACACAGAGGGGAGGGATGTGGGTCTCAGGGACGAGCAAACAGAGATGCTCAGCCTCCCTCCTAAAGAGCCAGCCCCTCTGGAAGAGACCCAGGACCAAAGGAATAAGGCACCTAGAGGACACAGGGGAGAGGTGAGCTGTTTGAAGGAGAGGATTTGAGTCTGATGAAGGGATGGAGGGAAATTATAAATGTCATGCTTTGGAGGCAGGGTGAGGCTTTTCAGTATTAGCAGCAGAGATGGGGTTTAGCGTGAAGGTTTGTTCCACTCCTGCTTGTACTACTGAGGTCCACTGACACAGCTGACTGCTGTCTCAGCAGGTGTTCCATGAGCTGTGTGCATCTCAGCTTTCCCTCCTAGCCCCTCTTTGCCATATGCAATAAAACTGCCCCAGCACCAAGATTTCCCGTTTTCCTGGCTAAGCCCCCCTGACCGCAGACAAAACAGACATCTCTTTTATATTTTTCCTTTAAGTAAGTGTTCCCCAAACTTGCTAATGTTGCCTGAGGCTAACCACAGCATCTTTCTCTATCCAACAGCTACAAAGCCTGAAGCAGCACATGATTCAGTGGGGCTTGCTCATGGCTGTCCTGATGGTTAAAGGAGAGGTATCTCACGGGTCAGAGAAGGGAAATCCTTCACCCTGGGGTGAGAAGCTCAGCTGGAAATAAGCAGAGATGGTTCAGTGGCTTGTGGGCTCACAGGGTCCTTTGGCATCACAGGGCACAACTCCAGTGAGGATCTCTAGTGAGATACTTCAGTTGCACCACTGCACAGGTCCTTGTCCCAGCTCCAGCAAGGGAGCCTGAAGCCAGCAGACAGCTTGTGACCTGGCAGAGGTAACCATCAGGACCACAGCCCTTGGATAGCTGCCTCCATCAGCAGAAAATCCTTATGGTGATTTAATGGGGCCACTGTTGCGTACCACAGCAACAACTGGGGGGAGATGCTGTGTCTTCCCCATCCACCTGCAGGGCTCGGTCATACTTAAAGGCTTTGCTGCATAATCCTTCCTCTGGAGCAGAAACCTGTTTGTCTGCCAGTCAAGATGAGACAAATCCCTGCATGGGGTGAGCTATGCCAACCTGCCTGCTGTAAATCTGCAGCAGCAGCAGCTTTCCCAGACAACCCGTATCAGTTTGCATATGCTAGTGCTCTGTTTCCACTCTTTTAACCAACATAGCTGTCCTGAAAAACACATTTAAATGGAGAATAAGCATTGTTCCCATTCAGGGAGAAGAATAAATGATTCTACAGGTGTATTTTTACCAGCTGGTAAAACTATATCAGTAAATTTCTTCAGTGAGTGGCCACATGAATAAATCACCATGTGGAAAATATCAACTCTTTCCAGTAACCATTCTGCCTGTGGTGCCTTGGTTTTAGGAAGCTCCACAGAGTTGTCCGGATGGGCTTTGCAGGGCCCGTGGCAGCCCACTGTGTCTGCATTGTCAGCCCAGCATCAGGTTGCTGGTTGCACACAGGCGTCTTCCATCAGCACCATTGTGGCGTTATTAAATCAGTGCAGATGCAGGGCTTGGACCAGACCCAGCGGCGGAAACACCCTGTGCTCTCTGCCAAATGTGCCTGCAGCTCTACAGAGCGTCAGTCACAGGAGGGTTTGGAACAGTTCTTAGAAAGCTTTTCAAAACTCAAGCTCTGCCATTCAAGCGTTGTCCCAAAACAATTATGAAATGCAGAGAGAACTTGGTGTGAAATTATCCAATACTTTCTCCCCATAACAACAGGAGGAAAACATTCAGGATTCAGCTAATTATTGCCCTTCTCTCAGCTGGCTATTTTTTACATGCTTTGTCTTCTTTTTTCCCCTATTTTCTTCCAGCTTCTTTCACACCCGCTTGCAGCTGCCACGGTGCCATTAGTTTTAAATGGGGCTTTAAAGACTTATTTTTAGGCAAAAATTAATCACCAACACCACGGTGGCCAAAATGGAATTGAGAAATAATAACAACAACAATAATTCATTACATAGTTCATTGAAGTACTGCTCTTGCAGAGCAAAAAATACCATTGCCAAGAAGCAAAACAGCTTCCCAGTACTGATTCATCCTGAAAATATTAAATTGGCTGGAGCACAAGGGTTAGGGACAGGAGAAGGGGCAGGAGAGATCCCAGAGCCATTTGCGGTCCTGTACCATAAGCGCAGGCACTTTGTTAGCTCTCATTTTCATTTCCTTTTACACGTGGTCCCGCATGGTTTCTTTATGCTTTGAAGCAATCAGCAGAGAGTGGGGAAAGCAGCTTTTTTTTGAGCATTGAATCACGTCTTGGGGTTTTCAAGCAAAGCATCCAAGATAAACTGAAGGTGCTAATTCATTTCAGGGCTGTGAGTCACACTGCTCACCAGTGCCCTGGCTGTGTTGCAGTGAAATTGTACCTGCTGTACTTACAGCTTTGCCTTGGCTTGGAGCAGGGGTAAGGTTCCCCCTTTTCTGCTGCAGGGGATTACTGCTCTGCTCCACTCCTCCTGGGACTGGGCTGTGTTTCCACACTGGGATAAGCAATGTTCCGAGCCACCAGCTGCCTGGTTTGTGTGCAGCGTCTGGGTAGTGCATACCTAGATAACAGGAGGAGAAGAGCTCACCTTGTGTATAAATCTTTTTCCTGTATCTGATGAAGTTCATATTGCTCCCTGCAGTTCCCTCCTCATCACTCATCATGCAAGGAGAGTCAGAGGGGGGCTACTGCCTGCCAGATTGTGGGTTTGCTGCTGCAAAAGCAGCAAGGCTGCTGGACAGTGAGCACAGTGAATTAACTGTAAAGTTAAATTCAGTGCCTTTAAATCAACCCAGGTGGGTTTTGTGATATTCTGCTGTCCCTTGGGGCAGCTGGGACCAGCACCAGCAGGATGCACTGGGATGGCATTGCTGGGTCCCTGCATGTGTGTAGGGCTGCAAAGGGTGAAGCAAACCCAAGCAGCATCACTCGGCTGGGCTCCATCCTAACTTTGCCCGGGCCTGCCATACTCCTGCTAACAGATCATCTCAGCCATGCAGTGTCAGTCCCACCAGCCTCATTCCTTTGTTTCTGTAAGTTGCTACTTCTGCTGGTTTGTGCCACTGTGCACCACCTCAGAGACAGAGGAAGTTCCCCAAACAAGGGTCACCATTGCTCCATTCCCAAGTGCTGCTTATCAGCATATTGGCCACTAATGAGGTCTCTCTGCCCCATTAGTTGTAACACTGATCTGCCTAGCCCAGCTTGACTGGGAGGTGGGTGTCATTTGGGGAGCAGCCTGTCACCCTCTGTGCTTGGGGAATGCATGGTGACCCCTCTTACCAGCCAGGATGACTCTGATGTGAACTGACTGGTTTAAAGCTCAACACCTGCAAGAACACGATAGCGCTGAGATCCCTGTTCCAGGGCTTGCCCTTTGCTGGGATGTGGTGGCTGCAGGGAGGAGGCATAGCCTGCTCTTGCTGTGTCCCCTCGCGTGCTGGAGGAGGATGTCACATGCATTGTCTGCTGGACATCCGCTGAGCCAGCAGCCATGACCCAGGGCAAGGCTATTTATGCCACATCTTTCTGCTGCTCTCCCTGGGTTGGTCAGATGCAGGCTCTGCTGGAGAGCCCTTTCCTTTCAGCTTTGGGTGAGGAGATCGGGAATGTCTCCATATCCTTGCCAGCGTGGCCAGTGCCTGCTGCGGCTGCTGTGGGTTTCTCTCCAAGCCACTAGAGATCAGCAGCAAGACACAACTGCTACTGGCGGATGCAACCTGCTTATCACATATCCACCCTGCTTCCTTCCCATGGGAAGTGCTTTGATCAACTGGCACAGGACCCTGTGCAGACACAAGGTCCAGTCAAGCATCTGTAGCCTATGTTGAGGGTCCTGGCACAGGAGGCGCAGATGTGGCTGCAGCATGGGGAGAGGCAGCAGGACTCGATGGTCATGGGTTGTGCCCTGTGCTGCTGGGTCTGCTCATGCCTCCCTAGGCACATGTGTGAGTGAAAGGGGTGATGTGGGCAGAAAGAGCCAAAGTTGGAGCTGTAATCCCTGGATCCAAGGGACCATGGTGGGTGGTGGTGTCATGACATGGTAGGGTGAGGGGTGACTTGTCCATTAGTGGCATTAGTGCCCATTAGTGAAAGCCAGCCACCACTACAGGTGGCCACATCTGGAGGGGATAGCCACACACTGACACCTTGTGATGGACACAAAGAAGAGCAGCCCAACTTCACCTCCCAGGAGCTGGGTTCATGTGAAAGCACTGTAGTGGGGTAGGCTAAAAGATGACCTTTAAATGTCCCTTCCAACCCAAACTATTCTATGAGCTACGATTTATGCTACACCCCTGTTCCTTGATACAAGAGCTGTTTTTGGAGAACCCAGGATGTGGCTAGAAGTGTCCCCCCTCTTGGATACCAGCATGTCCATGAAGACTTGCTGGGAACTGATTTACAGGACAAGATGCTCCCTGGCTATCCTCAGGACAAAAGGGATGAAAAGCCACTTGTCACCATCTGCCAGCTCTGGAGGTCGCTCATCTGACAGCAGTATCTGGACTATAGATGCTATCAGCCCTGGCAGTCTGAGCTCCTTTGGTCTGTTGTTCATGTCTGACCTTATTTCTTTCTCAGCTCAGGACTGGGTCGAGGTTTGCTGCTTTCCTTATCACCCTTCCCAGTCTGGTGATAAACTCCCAGTGGCTGGTCAGGTCTGATTTCATCCTTACTGCCTGCTTTGACAAGTAGGCAAGTAGGATGGGTGACAAACTGGAGGCAACAAATGTGTTGCTGTCTGCCTGGTGGCACCTTGCTGAGCTCCCTGCAGTAACTGTTCACCTCTGGTCCCACAAGACAGGCTGTTCAGAACAGCGTGTATTCCCCAGCCAGTGCCTGGCAATGTGCATCCATTAGAAACTACTTGCCATGATGAATTTGTCTTTATTAAAAACAATGTTTCTTGACTGGTTCTTCAAAGCAGGTCTGCAGGGGATGCCCTAACAGCATCTCTGAGCCCCCAGATGGGTGATTATGGCCTTTATTTGCTCAGCAAATTCTCACTCAGTGCAAAAAGCTCAAATGAAGCTGTTGATAAAGCACAGTGTCCCTCCAGACTGCAGGGAAACTTGGAGACCTCTCTCTGATCCTTGCTCTTATCAGACTGGCACACAAGGAGAGCTCTGCAGCCAAGGGTGCAGGGCAGAAGCAGATGATTGCTACCAACCCTAAGGTGCTGGCATGGGGAGAACCTGGTTGTACTTTGCCAGATGAGCACGTTTCCCAGAAAGTCCTAATGGGATGTGCTAGAGCTGTCGGTGAGATGGGTCATACTGAGGTCTCTGCTGTGGTAACAGCCCTGAGGCTGCAGCATGTTCACGGTTGTGCAGAGCAGCAGCCATGAATCAGCCTCAAAACCACCTCTCCATATGCGTGACACTGAGCTATGTGCTCTCCCTCAAGTGGTGTCTGGGACATCCCCCATTGCTGACTATGTTCATGCTGTCCCAAAGCAAGGCAAGACTGGGCTAGGATGAGCCTGTTTTAGATCAAAGCAGGATGATTTTCTGTCACGAATGCTGCAGTACTGAACAAAGCACCCACCAAACCCTGGCCATTGGAAACACAGGCTCCATGCATGATGCTGGAAGAACAGCTCCTTGGCAATTCCCACCCATGCAGGAGAAGGGCATGGGAAACAAAACTGCCAGGAGCCTTTGAGAACAATGGTTTAATTGCCTTGTGAGGCTGATGAGAAAGATTCAAAGATAAAATTACCATTTTTAATTCTTTTTTTTAAACTAAGAGACTTGCTGGTGCTTTCCACAGTGCAAATGGGTGAGCTGGTGAGCTGGCCGTGCCTGAGCACAGACTGTTTGGAGAGATTTTGAAGAGGTTATGTGCTGCATTAATAAGAAGCTAAGGGAGGAGGCTGGTACAGCCGTGGGAAGGGAGATGCTTATTCTGTTCTTTGCAAATTTGCATGGAATTGCTCAGGGGGGAGGAAGAAGCTTCAGGAAAACAAATTCCACTTGTTTCATTTTCCTCCTCCTGCAAAATAGATATTTGGTGTTTCAAAGTCAATGTTTCCTTTAGAGATTTACCCCAAGCTTGCTGACACTGGCTGTATCACACCTCTGAGGTTTTCACTGTGATAACAGTTCACTTAAGCAAGGATGGAAATGCAGGGTAAATCATGTCTTTGTGTGGGACTAGGCTAAAAGGACAGAGCTACTTGTGGTGGGTCCTGTTCTTGATCAGCCTGGGAGGACCTCTCGTGGGGGAGTGCCACACAGGTGCAATGAAATTACAACCTAAGCATCACTAAGGCAGTTTTCTTCCTGGTTTAATGAGACGTGTTTGAAGCAAGGATCAAGAAAAGAGCAGAAAGCCCACCTGTTTCTAGTGATGCATCAGAAGTGATGTTTTGAGGGTGTGTGGAAAACAGTATGAACTATGCTTTTGATTCAGAGGACAAGGAAGGTATCTCTTCTGCTGGGAGGAGGTCTAGTTTTGTTCATGGACCTGGATAAATACATTTTGCCTTATGCTGTGCCTTCACAGGCTTGTAAGGAAAAGCAGGGAGAGAGGGCTCGATCCTCTGCCAGACTGCTCTGCATGACAGTTTGCTCTCTCCACTGGATGAGAAATTTTCTCTCCAAGGGAAACTCCCCAGATCCTCAGACCATGCCTGTGTGAAATTGCTGGTTGGGCAATAAGGAAGTATGGGGGGAGAGCTAGATGGCATATTGTCCAGTTTAGCTCTCGATCCTACCTCATGACCCATGACTGCCTGTTAAGCATGACAGTTTAAACACTAGCTGGTTTATGTTTTATTTTAATGGTCAGATGGCTTCCAACTTGCTTCTGCTTTGCAGGTGTTCCCTTCCCTAAGCAGTTCCAGCAAGTTTGCACTAAGATCCTCACCCGGCTCTTCCGTGTCTTTGTCCATGTCTACATCCACCACTTCGACAGCATCATCAACATGGGTGCTGAGGCTCATGTCAACACCTGCTACAAGCACTTTTACTACTTCATCAGGGAGTTCAGCCTCGTTGACCATCGGGAACTGGAGCCTTTGGTAAGGATGCCCCAGGGTGGGGAGGTGGAGAGCATGAGTGGCATGGCCTGAATGCAGGACTGGTGTGTTTAGTTAGGGGCTGCACTCTGAGCAGTGCAGTCACCCTCTCTGAACTCTTTTCATTCACCTTGACTCAGAAGCACACCCATGTTTTCTGTCCTGTAACCATCAGCCTTAGTGCTCTTAGAACTTTTCAGCAGCCCTTTATACTTTGAAAACCCCCCTTAAACTCTGCTTCTGCTGCCGTGTCTTACGCATTGCTCTTCATTGCCCTCAGGACAACGGTAACATAGCGTCCCTCTATACTGTCTCAGTAACTCTAATGCAGTTTGCACATTGAAGTGTCCCCAGCCATGGCTTTCAGGGGTCAGATATGAGCTCAAGTCTCCTCTCTAGAGTCTTGAGGATTCCTGTTAGCAGACTAAGGCCCTTGCTTGAGATCCTATTATGAATTACAATAAGGCTGCGGGAAGGCAAGCCCCAGTAGGACATACACCTCCAGAAAACTGCTATGGATGCCTCACTGGAGGTGCCTCACTGGAGTTCCAGTTTCTCTGCAGCCTCCCTTGGGGAGCAATTAGCCAGGCAGAGAGTGAGAGTCCTTGAAAACAGCAGGACTGGTGGGAAGCAGAGGCCAGACAGCTTGGGAACTAGAAAACAAAACATAGTTTTGTAAGAGAAGCAAATGTGTCACAGGCAAAGTTAAACAACATGACCTAAGGAGGACATGTTGCAGTGGGGAGGAGAATTAATAGGGAGCCCAGTACTCAGCATGCTGTGATAGGGCTAGGTTGCAGAAAAGGTCATATCCAGCAATAGAGAGCCAGGGAAGACCAGAGGGATATAATCCCAGAGAGAGAAAGAGATGAGAAGAGTTCCAGAGCCTTACTCCTCTGCTTTCATTTGTTTTCAGTCAATTTGCTACCTGTCTGCTCCTGTCATGATTTGGGGGGATGGAGAAATGATGATCTAATCAGGGGAGACTTGAATGACAACTGCATCTACATGAATTATTTCCTAGAGTTTGACTGTGACCTGTATAACCACAATGGCCCTCAGCTCCAGAAAATGGCAGCTCAGGCTCACTCTGTCCAGTTAGTCTCCCTCACTACCACTCCTCACAACAAACTTCTTTAGCATTTGATATACAGCCCATAATGGTGTCATCTCCTTTGACTGATGCTTGCTAATGCCAATAATTAGCAGAGGCTGACATAGCTAAACAGGCTTTCAAAGCCAGTGACTCACACTCAACATGAGATGATTTATGGTTCTGGATGAATCTAACATGAACAGATTTTCATGTGTGATGCAACCAGGCTTAAACTATAAGGAAATGAGACACATTTACCTGTGGTCTAGCTGCATCTCATTTTGTGGTGTGCCCACTGCCTGGCTTCCAAGCTGCAAGCAGACCCAACCGCATGGCAGACCTCCTTCCCTCAGGCAATGACTTGCTGTAGGTGTGTATGAGTGTCCTGCAACCAGAGGATGGCTGTGTCCAGGGTGCAATGCTGAGCTGAGGAGAGAGGACAGGTTGCTGCAGCTCATGAATAACTTTCAATACCTGAAAATGGTCCTTCAGGCCAGCCCCAGGGAGGCTGCAGCTTGACACTGCATCAGTCCCAAAGTCTGCAAGGGTTAGGATTGATCCAAAAGCTTCCAACAGCATTTCTCTCTGCTGCAGGCAGGGAAGTAATAATGGGAAGTTTCTTGAGCCCCTGGGAGCCTGCTGTGGGTGTTCATGCTGCTCTGGCTTGGCTTCAGCAGTAGCTGTGAAGATGCACAAATAGTAACATCCAGCCTCTTCAGCACTCTACACTCGATCTTCCTGTGGCTGCACTGCAGCTGTTGTCCTGCTAAAACACTAAAAAAAGTGTTTTTAAGTCCTGAAGGATTCATGAGCTGGTTTGACTCCGAAGCAAGGACAGACAGTGCATTCCGTCTGCCTACATTTTAGGCTAAGACTGCAAGGTTTTGTTTTTGCAAGTGCTCAAGGTTTGTGGAAAGGCGATAATCTCTCAGTAGGGACGAGATTAAGTGTCCTTGAGAGGTTCAGTCTCTCCTGACTACCTCATGACCCCATAAAACCGTCCTAACCTTGCATTTAGATGGCCAGAGTTAGTCCTCATGAATCCCATGACAGAATTCTGAGACTCCTGCCTGCAGAGGTGCTTGTTCCCTGCATGTGATTATGGAAGGCCACTACTCACGTGGATGGAGCATATCTGGAGCAGGACAGCAGATCTGAAGTGCTGTATTATGGTTGGAGCTTTTCCGACTGAGAAGTAAGAAAGAAAACAACAGCACCTCCCCAGCCAAAGGATGTCCTGTTAGGCTCAAACAGCTTTGAAAAATTAGAAGGATAGTGGGATGAAGGAGTTCTCAGTTTCTAAACCTGCCTCTGGCAGAATCTCCCTTTGCTGCCTAAGTTTCCTTTTGTCAAGCTTCTCTGAGGCATGATTCCTTAGCAGCAAGTCCTGGGAGCCAAGAATGAAAGAGATCCTTTGTATAGGCAGAACCAGCACAAGGCAGTGATTCACTCTTAGCAGATCAAGAAATACGGGGGCAGAGAGAAGCCGTGCACTTGTTGCCTTGAGAAGAACAGGTCACGGTGCTGGGCGGCAGCACTGGCAGAGGTCCAGCTGATTATATCCTAAGGCAGAGCTGTGGGGATCTTCAGTCTGATGAATGTTTTGGACATTTGGGGACAGCTTAAGGAGCTCGTAGGTGGTTTGTCAGCCCACCGATTGCTTCAATCCACCCAGTTCAAGGCTGCTTTGGTGTGTGGTGCTGTGCTAGTGGGGCAGGCTGGATGCTGTTGCAAGAGGATGTTCAGTCTTCTCACCCCTTTTTCTTTCTCCTTCTGAGATGTCTGCAAACATTTCCAACGTAGTTTTGTGGTAGAGCATTGGCTTTTGATTTGCTGCTTCTGCTGCTTGAGTGATTTTTACTGTTACTCCTACAGAGAAGCCCCCTCTTTGCCACTCTCCCCCAGTGGATTTTAAAAACAAATCTCTCACCACTAAAGAGCTGAAATTGCAGCTTTTGTCCCCCTTGGTTATATCACTAAAGGGACTTTTATAGGGTTACTCATGGGTCATCCTGCTTTCTTGGTTCTTTTTTCAGTTGCAACCTTCCTCTCTGCAGCCCAGTCCTACTTCAGCTCTATTTTGGGAGTACATTTTCATGTGCAAACCTTTAGGTTATGTGAGAGGGTCGGTGTGCAAACACAGATTCACAAGCCATGAACCTGATGAGCCAGAGGGAATTGCAGAATTCCCTCACTGCAGTAGATTATCTGCAAGCTTCAGGAAAGAATAAATACCATCTTCCAACACCTGAAAGCTGGGTACCTTCCTAATGCAGCTGGCATGATGCCACCCTGGCTAAAGAAAACAGTCTGTTAGCCTAAACACAGCCCAGTCTTGCAGGAGCTTTCCTTTGGCCCTCTTAATAGCACTCACTTGCATTGTAGTGTGACTGTGGTCTTTGGGTGAGCTCTTGTTATCTTCTGGAGCAAGAGCTCCATGTCACCTCCCTCAGCAGCTGCAGAGGCTCCAAGAGCAGCACAGCCCTGTTTGGCTGCTCCATAGCTGAGTTAGGAGCAGGACCTGCATCTTTCAACATCTCAGCTCTTTCCTTGGACCACTCTCAAAGCTAGGCTGCCAAAAAAGCCTTGTGCCACAGGAACCGAGGAGGATGCCAGGAAGGAGCTGCTGAGGCAGAGCAGTTCCCATGAGGACTGGCATGGGAAATAGAGAAACACTGCCAGAGACTCCCACGGTCACTTCTTTGGGTTGTTTTTGGACACCTACCAAACTGATGTGTCACTCTACCAAAACCTGTCTTTTGCACTTACTGTTTCTTTCTTCTCTCTCCCCTTCAATGCAGAAAGAAATGACAGAACGAATTTGCCACTGAAGCATTCTGGCAGGTGAACTCAGCTGGCTCATTTGGAGTCTGATGGGACAAGATACCCTGTGGTGGAAGACCTCTTCCTGAGGACTTGCTCTGGGCATTTCAACTCAGTGAACTATGAACACTGCAGAAGAGCCTCTTCAGGCCATGGCCAAAGCCTAAGCTTGCCAAGCATCTCTGGACAGAGGTTTTGGGATTTTTTGTTATAGATCCCAGTCTCTGTTGTATGGCTCCTGCCAAGGAAAGCCACTGACTTACTGGAGAACAAGGCAAGTTTGGTTGATGTTTGCACACTCTGGTTTCTACGACCCAATTCTGTGTTTGCTAACATCCCCTCAGCTACCCTTCCTCTTGTTTTGTCCTCATCTACACTGATTTCCAGATGCTTCATCAGTGATTCCTGCCCTGTGAACAGGTATGAACTTGGCTACCGAGTAATGCCTCTTACCTTTCCCACCTGCAGTGGGTTTGTGGTAACATCCAAGATGTTATCTTGGATAACAAAGTTGGTGACATTCGATCCAAGCTGCCTTAATGCGGTTAGTTGCTGATGTACCATTTTTAACCACAAGCTACGAATGTCTCTCATTCTGCCCTAATTCATGCTTTACCAAAAGGACCATTTTTCCCTGCAAGGGATTTTTCATGTTTGGCAGAGGGACTTCATGATGTTCTTAAGATGCATCCAACACTGCCTGGACCAGTGGCAAGGTGGCCCCATGCCAGAGGAGGTGAACTAGGCCAGTTTTCATCATGATCAGCACAGTCTACCTGAGAAAAGACTCAGAAAGTGGAGGAAGCTGTTGCCAGAAAACCTGATTTTCAACATGCCAGCATTTCCTGACATGTCGTTTTGGCTCAAAAGCAGCAGATGCTGGCTGCAGAAATGGATGGTTTTCCATTTTCCAACTCTACAGTATAGCAAATCAGGTGAAGAAGGACTTTGAGATACCTAATCTACCCATTTCTTCCAAAAACACAAGAACAGTCCTTCTTAAACCCTTTTGCACACTGTTGCTACCTGGTCTGCACCATTATTCCTCTGAATGGTATTACATCTCAAAATTTCCTTCCCTTCTGCTTGCAGCCCCTGATAACTAATGTTGTCCCATTTGTCTTTTCACAAGAGCTGAAGTCTTTTTTCTGTTTTAGGGAGTTAAAATCAAACTGTCTGAGCCACTGCATTATGTTTGTATTTCCTGCCCTTCTGGGGAAGTTTTGTATACCAGACACAGCTGATATTTATAATCTGGGGTTTTGCCCGTTTTTGGGATGGGGGGAGGGATGTGGCTGGAAAATGTAAATATTTAGGCTAACATTAAGGTGCATAAGTGAATTTTTAGTGCTCAAAGCACTTATTTTGTTGTGAAAATCTATTTTTTTTTAAGCTTATGTACCAGATATATATTTTTACATGGAAATAAAAGAGAGCAAAATGGACACAAAAACACCTCATACATCATTCAAATATTTTCTATGTAAAATAACTGGTAAAAGTCTAGATATTTTTGTTCTGTTCCTAATTAAAGAAATGTTAATAAGCTTGGTGTGCATCACTCTTCCCCGATTCATCTGTAGTAAGACACGCATCATGAAAAAGCACCCAGGATAACTCGAAGAGTGGATTTACACAGAGTTGCAGCACTGATGGATCTCAGTGCTATGTTGAGACCTGAAATTACATCTCAGAAAGTGGCTTGGCACAGGCAGATGTTGCTGGTCTGCATCCTCCCCTTGCAGACTTTTCACCAGCTTCCCAACTTGAAGGTATTTTTCCAGCGATACATGGTGGTGAGCTTTACTCAGTACTTTCTGCAAAGGTGTGTGGTTCTTGGATCCTGGGATCCGTGTTCCAGCCTCTTCATATAACTCAGAAGTGGAAGCACAATTGTGGTGTGGTGCAGAGGCAGAAGATGACAACAGCTCTGTCAGGAACCTTCTGCCACGCCAAGAAGTGAGGCATCGTTGGACTCAATGCACACGACCCTCTGGGAGCTGGTCAGGCTGGGAGTTATGGAGAAGCTGTCTCGACAGTGGGGTCTAAGGGATGAACTGACCGCAGCCGACAGCTACTTCAGGGTGAGGTATAATGATGACAGAGTCAACCTCTTCTCAGCTGTGGAAGACAGTGACTAACAGTCACAATCTGTGGCTTGGAATATTCAAATCAGGCAACAGAAAAGAATAATCCAAGAGTGTGGTGAAGCCAGGGGACAGATACCTAGAGAGGAAGCGTTAACCATCCTCAGATAAACAAGACTTGGTATGAATAATACCTTTGCATAGCAGCACGCTTTTATTTTGTCCACCACATTGTCCTGCAGCAATGAGTTCCACCAGGTAACTGCATTACAGTAGGGGAGTGAACTTTGATTATTTTTTAAACCCATGCCTGAGGATTTCAGCCCTCCTGCTTTGGGAATGTTTCCTGTTTACCTCCTCCACACCATGAAGCTTCTGTATGTATGATTCTATGATGATTCTATAGATTCCTGCAGAACAGAAAGCTGTTATTTCTGAAAGATCATCCCACAGGCTCATCTCAAGCAGCAATTAAAAACTGAATTTCAAAGGTCTTTTTTTTTTCTCTTTTTAATCTGGTTTACCCAAGGAAACAAAGCTCATGATTGTGCTGTGAAAACTGTATCTTTAATAACTCTGGAAGCAGTACTGGAAGGGGAGACATGGAGATCATTCACTGCCAGAAAGGTCTTTCTGTCTTTCTCCAAGACACGGAGCTATTCCCCTGGTCCTCATCCGAGTGCCTCCCAGCCTGGAGAGTTTAATGCCTGAGCACAGCAGAGAAGTTTATGAAGCAAAAAGTGCTGAGATAAGTATCTAAGTCAAACATCTCCTCCCTTCAGGATGCTGAAGTGTGCCTATGAGGTTCCAACATCCCCAGAGCTTCCACAAACATCCCTGAGCAATTTGAAAGCAGGCAGGAACCTGGGATGCATTAAATATGCAAGTAGCTCTTGTTAGCGCCAGCTCCCTAAATGACTCATCTGCTCAGCTGGCTGTGAGGTGCCTGGGGCTCATTTTTCTCTTTGCAAAATCCCTGTTTTCTCCTGATGTAGGGCAGATGTGCTACTGCAGGATTTTACTTCCCTTCTCTGGAGCCACCATGTCCTTTGGGACTAAACAAAAGGTTGTGGCACCCATCACAGGTCAGAGGGAGGCTGGCACAGGAGCGATGCTGTGCTATGCACTGTCTGCAGATGTTGGAGAATTTGGGAATAGCCTTGGGTTAAAAAAAGGCTTTGTGGAGCATAATGGCTCCTATCCCAGTGCCACAGGGATGGGGAAGGGCTTGGGTTCAGCCAAGGACTTCAGAGAACTCATAAGAGTCAAAGAAAACCATGAAGCAAGAGTGTGGCATTCAGCTCCCTGCTGAAAAAAGACCCTGAGTCAGAGCTGAAATGCCAGCGGCGAGTGTGGGACTCCTGTGTGTCTGCATCAATGTAGAACACAGCAAAAGCAAATGAGGTCTCACACGAGAGTCTCTTTCTGGAGAGGTGGCTGTGGGAGAAACAACAGCATGATCTGCCTGCAAATTTCTTTACAGCCTCAGTGAAACACCATCCATTCAACTCCAATGAGGTACCTCACTTTGATGTTTTGGGATACTGGGTGATGGCATCTGCTCCTGAAATCCTTTGGGCAGGACTCACCACCTGTTGTAGTCACTTAGTGCTGGCCATACTTTGACTGCCCCAGGGTCTCTGCTCTCTTCCAGTGTCTGAGCTCACCCAACCTTCCCTCCTTCCAAGCTGGCTCACTGCTGGGGCCAGGTTCCTCAGCAGCAAGGAGGATAACTGGGAAAGCAGTGTTCAGATGACACCCACTGCATCATGAGTTCAGCAGCTCAACGACTGCTGCTTCTTAAAAATATCTGGCACTTTTTCTCCCAAATCATGTGTTTTGGTGGAAATCTTGAAGGAAATCTGGGACTTTGCAGGAACCCTGGATTGTAGGGTTCCTCTTGCAGAACAGCTGGGTCCAGGTGCTGTCTGCTGGAGCACAGGGTTGCTCTGTACTCAGCAAGTGGTGGTATGCATTTAACACCCTCCTGCTGGGAAGAGTAATCATGAGTATAAAGAGGATCCATATTTTCAGGATCGTTTTATGACTTCAGCCTCTGTTAGAAGGATAAACTTCACCACCATCTGAGTAAATCCTCCAGCAGCTATTTTATTAACTTTAATGAAGGTGTACTACTTAGGAGTTGCCATACTGGAACAGACGTCTCTTTTGTCATTTAATATTTCATATCCACTGGGTGAGTTACCAGTTGCTCTGGGCTATGCCCTAATGATGGACTAAGGTAAGCATTTTGCCATCTGTTCATGTGGCTGTCAGGTGAGCATAGGTAAGAGCTGACAGTCTCAGGACAACTTGCTGTAGGCATCCTGGGCTGGAGGCCATGACCAGCCCTGCACTCATGATCTACCTCCTTTGGGTCTTACTCATCTTGCAGTTTTCCAGTAGTGCAAGCATTCTCCACACTTAGGTGCACTGTGGGGGAGTAAGAGCTGAGATGTACACAAGGTGGATGTGCTGGTTTTGGGAGCTGCATATAGGTGGAGGTAATGCTATAGAAGGCTTTGATTTCTGATGTGATGGTTCTGATTTCCGACGTGGTGGCAAAATGTTCTGCTGTTTTGGTGACTGCTCATTTCTGAGGACTTGGAATTTTTTAGTCCTTGGATTGCTTCTGTAACCCATAACTGGCCTTGTTAGGAACTAGGCTGATGTCTTCTCTGTGCTGGAAACACTGGACAGTCTAAGTCCTTCCTGCTTGACTTTGCAATCTGCTCGATATTACTGCTCTCTGGTGCAAAAATAAATACCTAAGCATAACAGGGCTGCAGCAAAATGAAAATGTCACCACTCAGGAGGAAATCATCTTCCCACTTCTGTTCCTAGCTGTTACAGCAATTTCCTCCCAAGACACCCTTTTGTGCTATGACTTCTAAATCCATTAAAACTCACAGATATTCTTATATTACACTGTCTTGTAAGCAGCCCATAGAAATAGGAGGATTAAAAAAAAGCCCCTTCTGCACAAGCTTGTAACAGAAAACTCCAAGAGCCTCCCTCTTTGGTGCTACACGCTTGTATAGCAGCACCTCTCATGTCTGGGGAAGTCAGTTGGGTGGGATAAGGGTATCAACCCTTGCTTTCCAAATGGATTTTCTGAGAGTTCTGCATACCCCTGGCCCCAAGGCTTTTGTTTAATCCATGTGCAAGTACTTTCTAAATCTCTAGACTGTGCACATAGATGTAGCATGGACAGTGTCATAGGGTAAAACTGCAGCATCCAGAACTTTGGCCAGCAAGGCTGTTACTCATCTGGGTAATATCCCAAGGAACCCAAGGGCATGAGACAGCTTAGTCCTGTTCATTTTAATAAGACTATATCATCAAAACACCACGTGTAACATCATGTTAACATCACCAGAGCTCAACCTTCTTGTTAATTTTGCATTGACAATGCTGGTATAGGCTCCACCTAACAATCAGTACCAAGTTGTAATACTTAAGTTAGACTACCTGGACACAGCCCATGTGTCTCCACTGCCTAATTGCAATGCCCGGGGCCTAGCATTTGGGATAGCACAGAGTCTGCATTTCCACTCGCTCTCCTAAGCAGGACACCATAGGAAATGGACTAGAAGGATTTGTAATCTGAGGGTGCTGAGGCGCTGGCACAGGTTGCCCAGAGAAGCTGTGGCTGCCCTATCCCTGGCAGTGTTCAAGGCCAGGTTGGACAGGGTTTGGAGCAACCTTGTCTAGTGGAAGGTGTCCCTGCCCATGGCAGGGGGATTGGAAGTGTACGAGCTTTAAAGTCCCTTCCAACCCAAATACAATGATTCTATGATGTAATGGTTCTGCCAAGTCCAGCTGAAAAACAAGGCACTGTCAAGGATGGAAAGCAATCTGGACTATCAGAAATCACTGCTGCTACTGAACAGCTGTTAGAGATAAATGGGATAGTTCA